TAAAAAGAAATCAGTTTCATATACTCTTTCCAACAGTGCCATTCTGTAAGCCAGAGGATGTCATGTCATATGAGTCAATGTTAATGCATTGCTTACTGAACTGTGCTACTTACATAAGAGTTGCTGCCTTAAAGCAACGTTTTTCTGCTGAGCCAACATGGATTCAAGCCACCAATTGCAAGGAACTGTGTCCTCAGCATTTGTAGTAATTTGTTATTTAATAATTTTAATTGTATGCATTCTCATAGTGGAGCAATATTTTGTGTTCAGAATTACATAAATTAGGGAAAATAATTAAATATTCATATATTTATGGTATACATATTTTGATATTCTGGGGGGGAAAAAATGAACATATGTTTTACAGAAAGAATAAGAAAGTGATCTAGAAACTGAAAGATTTTTCAGTTGTTGTTAAAGGGACACTATAGTCACCAGAACAACTACAGCTTATTGAATTTGTTCTGGTGAGTAGAATCATTACCTTCAGGCTTTTTGCTGTAAACACTCTCTTTTCAGAGAAAATGCAGTGTTTACATTACAGCCTAGTGATAACTTCACTGGCCACTCCTCAGATGGCTGTTAGAGATCCTTCCTGGCTCATGGCTGCCTAAATTGCATCCAAACATTCAGTATCTCCTCCCTCTGTATGCAGATACTGAACTTTCCTAATATAGAATCATTGATTCAATTCATCTCTATGAGGAGATGCCGATTGGCCAGGGCTGTGTTTGAATCATGCTGGCTCTGGCCCTGATCTGCCTCCTTGTCAGTCTCAGCCAATCCTATGGGGAAGCATTATGATTGGATCAGGCTACCACTTCTGATGATATCAGCAGACTCCTTGTTTTTCTGAGTCTAACAGCATGCAGATGGGCTAGATGGTGGTGTTAACACTATAGGGTCAGGAATACATGTTTGTGTTCCTGACCCTATAGTGATCCTTTAAGCGAGCAGACAAAGTTGTGGCAAATTGACCCATAAGTACTGAACATAAACAGTAAACACACAAACAAATTGGTTCATAAAACAACATAACATTATTCACAAAACCCTGTTTGCAAACATCCAACCTATTAATAAATAAATATATATATATATATATATATATATATATATATATATATATATTTATATATATTATACATATACAGAGAAGATTTATAAATCCTGTCCAACAAAAGTATTGTGAGTATTTTTTTATTTTTATATTTTTATTCTACATTCCTCATTCCACTAACGACGGACGGACAAAAGAAGTTACCAAAATTTTATGCTAAAACCTAAATAGTTTCAGTCTTTGGATACAAAAATTGCTCTTTTAATAGCTAGACACATTTCAGATTTAAGGACTTAAGGATTTAAAGTGCTTTTTACTACAGATTGTCAAGGTCCAAAAATTAGCTAACTGGGAGTCAGTTATGTTGGTAAACCTATACATTTCCTATAAACTTGTCTGAAATCACTTTATTGTAATGGCGTGATTTTGAGACATACATGTTGCCCGTACAGTTTTTCAAATACAAACAGTACTGTGTCTGATATACAACATTCTTTATATTTCACAGTTTCCACACCTGCTAGTAGCTATCATTCACACAGATTTTAAAATAACATAGATTAAATTATTAAATCTGACATTAGCTGATGCCGAACATTGTGTATCTTTATTTACTTTTATTATTCACTGATACATTATGATTTTATTTATATGTAATCTCTGGACCCCTTTTGTAATGTAAGTATGATGCTGTGCTTATAATATGACACTATTCAGCTGCAATTTGTAAACCAATTAACAGTGCTGTACACCATAGTCAAATTCCACTTTAATTACTGAAAGATCATGCTCACGTATGGGATCAACAATGGACTTGTGTGGCACAAGCATGCAGCCTTTTGATAAGCCCATTATACAGTGGAAGGACCGTCCTGTCCTCAATATCCCTGTTCTAATTTCTGTAGACGAAAGCAGCTCCTCTGTGCTTCAGCACCACACTAAGTCATCCATCAAGACATTAAAATCAATTGGGAACAAGCAGGCAATAAATCACTACTCTTATATACTCTATACTAATATCAATATCACATGCAAGCAAACATTGAGGATGCTAACCAGTCTAATGTACTTACACAACACAGTCTATTTGTTCTGAGAGTTCTTTTTTTTTACTTGTTATGTTATACTATCACATTTGTTAGTGATCACTGTCAATAGTTGTTTGTAACCGTTAGGATATTTACAGATTTCCCATAATTTTGTTTAACTCATTTTGTACTTTTGTCACATTCTAATTACTATACGTGGTAAGAACGGACTGCTATAGAAGGCTCGTTTCTACTACAAAGAAAGTTTTTCTATACATACAGCTGCATTACCTGGGGCCATTTCCAGATGATCTAAACCACATCTGTTTTAAATAATTTTATTTTACTACTTAATTTTACACTTACACTTACAAAATTATAAGACATACAAATTATTATTACCTGGTCTTGATGTATGGTGGTTAGCAGTTGGTGGTAGAATAGTATCTGTTAGGTCATTTTTAGTTGATAGGTACACATTTACACACACTAGTTAGGGAACATAAAATACTCGGCACCCATATACAACAAATACCATACATTTAAACACATACTCATATACAGTATTAGTCTATTTATTTATCGTTTTTCTTTGTTATCCACCATCCTTATTCACATCCCATTAAGGGAATGTGTTATAATAAACATTTATAATAAATAAAAAATAAATTAAAAAAATATATATAATTCACTTTTTTTTTAAGTATATTTAGATCTGGATAACCCCCTTTAAATAAAAGCGCCGGAGGCACCGGAGTTACTGTTTGTTTTTCCATTGAGTATTTTTCAGTGTTAGCTTGTCCCTCTTAAGCTTTGTCTTTATTTTATGCAGAGGTTATTATACAGGCTTGAGTACCATTTCACCCCCTTTTCTGATTATTATTGCTTAACAGTTTGGACTTACGCACTTTTTATTGTACTAATTGATTTAATGCATTCATTTGATTTATATATACATATTTTCAGCAATTTTACTGTTAAATTTATTGACTTTCATTAATTACTGTTTATTTACAAATATGCTTATTTTAGATTTGTATAATTATTTTGCTGTTTCTTTTTTTAATCTCTGCTGCTCTTGTACACCTTTAGCAGTTTTTCTTCTTTCTTTGTAAAGTTGTTGCGAAAGACTGATCCTTTCCCACTAGGTAAGATTATGTGTGTTTTATATGGTTGTTTTGTAGATTGAGTGCAATTTTTTTTTTTCTAGATTTTAGTATAATCATGTTGGTTAAAGACAACCTGAAGAATGATCTGGGCTCTGGTGATTTGTTGCCTAGTTTGTTGTCTATAACAATTCCCAAATCCTTCTTGTGTGTTGTTATCCCTAATTCACTACCATTTAGGGTATAAGTTGGTGGCTTTTTTTTTTACCATGAAATGCAAAACTTTGC